TTGCTAAAAAAATCCTTGAAATCGCCTAAACATCGTCGAGGCATAGGAGAAACCATCTCTGGTTGGCCAGAATACCCTGTTGATGGCCGTTGACAACCACCGGGATCTACAATTACAACATCGATGTGTGATGGTTTCTCTATGCACAATTGCCTGCAGAACAACAAAACCAACCCTAGATCTATCAATGGCGAGAAAGAGGAAACTTGAAGATTACTCTCCTCACTCCAAAGCAGGGTCAAGCCGCCCTTTCTCTTTGCATAATTGCACACAGAAAAGTGATCCAACCCTAGATCTGGGCGGATCGAGGTCATCTCCACCGCTGTGCGCTTAGTTTCGGAGAGGAAGATGATGCTGGGCTTATGTTGGAAACAGAGTTTCTTCAACTCTGAAATCGCAAAAGTATCTCCAAGACCTCGACAGTTCCAGGCCAAAATACAAGTCTGATCCATGGAATGGAGAGGTAGAAAACCAGGAAAAAGAAAGAGGAGGGAGGCCTTGCAAAAACAAGGAGGGGCACCAAAGTGAGAGGCCCGCCGTCACCGAAACCCTAGTTGCAGAGTTTCGGAGCACGGGAGAACAACAAATACTTTTTAAAAATTATTATTTTTAAATTTGAATTAAAAGCAATTTTAATGGCAAAATTAATGAGTGATGGCTAGTGTTTTGAATTGGAGGGTATACTAAATTATTTTTCTATTTTAGAATCTTCTAATTGGCCGTAAGCTAGCATTCTTGAGTTGATGCTTAACAATAGAGTTCCACCATAACTTGGGAAAGTTAATGGATAAGCTTGAGGTTGTTGGGAAGTCAAGGGCATTGCTCATGTTGTTGGGTTGAGCAATTGGGTTGGCAGCAACACTAAACTAAGGGTTTAACATGTGAAAACACTACCTTGAATTCAAAAAATTAGGTTATTAAATTCATACTCCACATATATAAGGCATTTACTTTTCACTTCTGACTTTCAATATGGGGTTCAATTTACCTGCATGTAAACACCCAACAATCTCCTCCATTCACTTGTGAATCTTCAGCATCTCATACTAGTGCACCTTCATAGGTAGAGGGAGGAAACCCTTGCACTTGCTTGAGATCTACACACTTCCCCATGAGAGTAACATCATCCATTCTTAAGTTTGTACGCTATCTTTGGGTGTAGGGATCCTCACATCTTGACACCCCACTCTCTCATGTGCACTTACTTGATGTACAAACTCATCTCGACACTCCAAATGGGTGGAGGAATTGTCTCCCTCTCAACATCCAAGTATAGTGGGGGCACTCATTACTTTTACAGCATCAAGTTAACTACTATTGCTCTTTAGCTTTAATACTATTATTAGGGTTGGTTGACGAATTTAATCAACAATAACATTTAAGTAAGGGTTTAACATGTGAATTAGGTTCATAACTCTATATATATATATATATAAAAGTCACTAAACCCCCAACAATGGGGCATGATGAGTTTAATTGTTTAAGGTTTTTTTTTTTACTATTTGAGGGGCTTATGTACAAAAATAGTGTTTATTTAGGGGCTTAAGAACCAAGATATGGGTTTACCGTTGCCATTGCAACTGTTAGCTCTCCGGTATCTACTCTCCCCACTACCACCATGAAATTAATATCGTTTCCACGCTCATGAAAAACTCTTCACAATGATAAACAAGAAGAATGGATCAGAAACAAGAACCGGCCTTGGTGGTTTACCCAAAATTCCGCGGCATGCGTGCTTTAATTTGAACCTGACTCCACCTGCGATTAAATTTAGCGCCCTACTGTCCTGTCCTCGGTGGGTGGGAAGACGCAGTGTCTAATTACCAGCATTTACTCAATTTGTTGCTATCTGCAAAGGTACAAAAACTTGTCTATCTCTATACTTTTGCTCTTTTCTTTTCTTTTTCTTTTGTAAGAAAAAAACTTTTCATTCCAACTTGCATTAAAAAAAGGGAGTATTTACTTTTTAACACACAAACACACCTAACAAAGTTGCTGAAAGTTCTTTGCGTGATTGGCAGAGTGGTACCACT